TTCCTCAGAAAGTTGGTCAATGGTCTTTCGACAATCTTCATCAATTGCACGTTTGATTTTGGCAATGTTTTCATCATTTCTTCCTGTCGAAGGACGCCCGGGGCGTGGCATGTCTTCTGTTGACATGTTGCCAGATTTGAAACGAGAAAACCACTCGTAGACCTGTGATTTCCCCAAAGCATCATCATTAAAGGCTTGCTGAAGCATCCCAACAGTCTCGGCTGCAGTTTTCCCTAACAGAAAGCAAAATTTCATGCACAATCTTTGTTCCTTCTGGTCGGCCATCTCACTAATCACCAAAGGGTTGAAACAGGAACGCACACAACAGAGCACCACAGACAAACCACTTAACTCAGACTGACGCCAGCTCACTAACAGTCGCGGGAGACCCCCAACTAACACCACCTAGCAGCACAACTCGTAACTACAAAGCATGCGCACACAACAGGTCGTTTCCGGTTATTTTTGGGTTCCCCTTCGTATATAACCCAATATTTGAAACATCAGAAGAACTGAATACTAGATAGCAGCACACACAACCCATCTGCCCCACATATAACAGAACCAACTCTACAGAATGTTCATAACACCTGCATGTGGAACAATGAAAGGAAACACATCATCATAAAAGTATTCCACATTCAACTGCATTAAAAACAACATCAATACATTCCACACATAATAGTAACACAGCTCATTATTACATGTTATACATATACCAGTCTACAACACATGCTGTGCATAAATGAAATTATACTTCAGATTTTAAATTTAAATTCATCACAAGTGTATTAACAAGAGTTATGACAGTGCATAAAAGTGCAGAAATTTCTCCAACAATTTTAATGTACCTGATAATGGCCAAATAGGATGAAACAAGTTGTGCAACAGATGCATTAAATAAAGACATATAACTTGAAACAACTGAAAGTTTTAAATATTTTAAATTTTGAATTTTAAAACTTTCGGTATGAGTTGCATGTGAGATGACAGTGAATACAGGAATTATAACAAGCATTCAAAACGACCACCCTTGGCCTTAGTATACATCTTGGATTGTCTGTGACCCAAGCATGCAGCTTGCATCACTTCAGTAGTACCCAAAATGCAATTCAACAATGTGTCCTGTATTTTTTTTTATTTGTTTCATTCTGGTCCATCACTCTAACAATTATAAATACAAACCACTCCGTCCAATGTGACATATAAGTCTTTACTACGTTAAAACTTATCTCCTTCTGAAGATGGCCCATAAGGACCAAAACATGTAAGGAAGATAAGTTTTAACGTAGTAAAAACTTATATGTCATATTGTATGGAGTGGTTTGTATTTATGTGTGTCCTGTGTTTCCACCTTTTGCTGGTACACTAGATCTTTCACATGATGACACAGACAAAAATCAAGTGGACCAAAGTATCAAGATCTGTCATCCTGTAGACCACCATGACTGACCCAGCAATCATGAGAGCAACGACTGAGATATATTTTTACTGCATAGCTAAAACATGGTGGCATGCCATCATGGACTAAATGCAGCTGTACAGAAAAACGCACAATACTTCCTCATATTAGCTTCAAATGTCCACATATAACATATAACATTCTTTCCTTGAAACAACAGCATATCATCTGTCATTTATTAAGGGAAATGCTGTAAAAAGTGATTAACAACAAGAAAATCTCTTCAGTTGTGGCAATTCTAATACATAAGTAAGTATGGCAACCCAATCAAATTGGCCTGCGAACTGCAAAGGGTTAAAGAAATAACTCACAAAAGTTAAGTGAATATCTGTAACATTACCTATGATAAGCCCTGCAGACATGTCATGGTAGTAACCCACTTTACGTAAAGTCTCAAATATCTGGTATGCTAACTCTCTAGTAGGTGTGATAATAAGCGCTCCAATACCATCTAGTCTGGTCCACTGTTTGCAGTACAGAGCTTCAAGCACCTGGTAGATTCAAATTCAAAACATATGAGACTTAATAATGAAGTACTGAGACTCAATATGTAAAAACTAATTTTACTTAACAGTGATGGAACGTTAATCCTATTCAGAGCAGCCTCTGTGAGCTTCCTGCCAGTGCTGCAGACACTCTCAAATTCAGATTCTGGAAGTGCTAACAAATGTTAAGTTGCGCCATGTTCAATCATTTCCACAGCACTGAATCTTTTGCCTTTTAATATTTCCATAAGTTTAGGACACACAGAACAGTCACAGGGAATCATACAGGAGACCCTTGATATAAAGCAGGGGAAAAGCTTCAGTATGTGTGAACAACTGAAATTGACATTCATCTAATTTTGGAATCCCTGTTATTAAATATACAGTATTTTTGCTGTGACTAACATACTCTCTCCAAATATTTTGTGGGAATTCTGATCATCTGTGTCTGGGCAGATAAAAGGGGTGCTCATTAAATTTTGCTATTTGATCAAAATAATCCCAAGGTTAGAGAACTAGAAACAAATTTTAGTGGTCTATGGACTTTCACCTCTGTAGATGCATACTACAGCAAGGAATTCTGCAACAGTCTTACACTGTACCTAAAACATCTCATAGAAATATGTACAACATGAATGAATGAATGAATGAATGAATCAATCAATCAATCAATCAATGAACGAATGAATGATGGGAGCAACTTGACTTGTCCTTACACCATGACCATCCGTGATCCACTGTGCATTATCTGTACAACATAAAACACATCATTGTAATGGGGGACATGACCAAAAATGTGGTATGCCTGAATATCTGTTATAACAAGGGTCTGCTGTATCCAGAGAATAGGATGGCTGTCATACTTGTAGGGTGAATGGTGTGGAAGGAGAATGTGGCCTCATATGTAGGTCTCAAAATGGAAGTATGGATGGGGCCAAGAATGTTGTGCTATCTAGTGCGAAGAAGTCACAGACAGATATGCAAGTCTTGCAGTGAGAGTAAGTGTGCGGATGTGGAGCGTGCTGCTACTGATTGGGAAGGGGCCACAGTCTGATATAATAGGTCGGATAAAAAGTAGTGGCAACACCTCTATACTTCTGAAATTACTTTATTACCTGAGGTAAACACACTTACATTCCTTCAATATTATCACCCCCCCATGTGTACCACCTTCTGCCAAATTTTTGGAAGGTGTCATACACCATCAGCACGTCCACTTCTGTTGATGTTTAGCATGAATAATCTCCTCTCTTGTGTTGTAACGTAACCCTCGCAGTGGTTCTTTCAGTTTGGCAAAGATATCATAATCGCAGAGACTCATATCGGGTAAGTATGGCGGATATTGCAGTATCTCCCATCACCAGCGGCGAAGGAGATCCTTGACAGCGTCAGCAGTATGAGGCCTTGCATTGTCATGAAGGATGATGGGGTTCATTGACAAGTGTTGTCGCGTTCTCCTGAGTGCTGGATGAAGATGATTACGCAGGAAACTGCAGTAGTAGGCAGCGTTTCCTGTCTGTCGTTGAGGTACAGTGTGGTGCAATATCACTCCATCAGTGTCTTGTGCCATAATGACCATCCCCTTCACATTACTGCGTAGGGCGCACTTTCTTTGGACTAGGAGAGCCAGGATGCTTCCATTCATTTGATCGTCACTTCAAGTGTGGTTCATATGAGCGAGCCCAAGTTTCGTCCAGAGTGATGATCCTTCCAAGGAAGATGTCACCTTCCATCTGGTACCAGTCCAACAAGTTCTGTGCAATTGCATAACGTTGCCACTGCTGCACCTCGGACACTGTATGGGGTACCCAACGCACTGCAATTTTGCAGTATCCAAGAATATCATGCAGAATGTGGAGCACGGTTTTGTGACATACGCCTACCTTAGCAGCTAACTTCTGCGCATCCCATCGACGATCGACAACCAGCAAAGAAGCAAGAATCTGAATTGTGTGGTTGTCAACATGGGGTCATCCTGAAGGACGGCTGTCTTGAATGGCATCCCTCCCTTCACGGAACAATTTCGCCCAACATGCCAATGTGTGATATGGCAAAGCAGCATCACCACATGCTTCTCGCAGTCCCTGATAAAACTTAATGACTGTACCACTTATTTTTTTTCTAGTTTACGACATATTTCGGCTGCAAATGGACCATCATCAGGTGACTCAGAGAAGTCATCATTGACATGTACTTTGATAATAAGCAGTGGCTGCCGTGCCGAGTGGACCCAACTGGATTCCAACCCCCAATCCCCCCTACTAGACAAAGCAAATTGATAATAAGGATAATGCCTAAACGCAACGGGATACTAAAATATAATATAAAGTTATGGTGAAGTCTTCACCTGTTTACTTTGTCTGTTGATTACCATAGAATCCTATATAGAAGATCAATACAATGGCTCCTGGTACATTTAATAACATTTTCTCAGCTGAACTGGAAAGGATCTCAAAGGAAGTGATAATGGCCTACTCCAATGCAGAATCCCAGTACTTGTTTAAAAGGCCAAAAGGGAACCCTGACGAACCTCACGCAGAAGAGCAACTATCCAAGCAACTGCTCCATCAAATTTACTAAAGAATGCAAACTCCTTATTCAAAACTGAGCACACACAGTAGCATACACATGCACAGAACTGTATAAGATACTCATTCTACAAAGAGTGTAAAACATGCTGAATTATTTACAATATCCAACTCACCGGAATAAGGAAAGCTAAAGTCTTTCCACTTCCCGTTTTGGCAGCACCTAAGATATCTAAACCCCAGAGACTAAGGCCAATACTTTGTTGCTGTATTTCTGTGGGCTTCACATAACCACATTCTTTAAGTCCCTTAAGAGTTTTCTGGGAAAGTGGAAAATCCTTGAAAGAGTTCACTTTTGATGCATCTATCTGTTGAGGAAACAAACAAAAAAAAGGAACAATTTTACAATATGGTAACCCTATACCTGACCATCTTTAGCAGGTATCAGTTAACTGTGACTCTGAATAATCACATTAAGAAGTAGAAGGGAAGACATGAAGTATGCACAGGACAAACATGAAATGTACACAACTTTGGCTGCAAAAGTTTAATGGAGAAACAATACACGGAAGACCTAGGTGAAAATGGGAAGATAATATTAAAATGTATCTTAGGGAAACATGTGACCTTGTGAAGTGAATAGGATCCAGTGAGAGTCTCTGTGATGACGACAAACCCCCTACATTATGGTGGTACAGTGTATACTGTAAAGATATGCACGAGAATTAGATGTAAAACTGACAATTTCCTTATCCAAATGGTTGTAATACCTGTATGTATGAATTGTTGAATGATAATATATTACACCTGCCCCACACGCTTTAATTCCTCACGGGGTAGTGCCTCGACTAAATTCAGCGATATGAGTCTTATATCCCAGGGGTACACGGGTGTTGGCTCGCTTACGTCGTTTTTTATTTGGATGCGGGCTCAATCGGTTAACCCCCTAGCACAGGTTCCACCTGAACCTCCTCACTCCCTGGCTTCTACTCCCTCACTCCCTGGCTTCTACTCACTAACTAACTCCTTACCCCCGCTGCTGCTTCCAGAAATCACGTTCTTACCCATCTCGAACTTTCCACTGGGAGGGCTTCATGACCAAATGCACGGACCCCTTCCAGTCTGCACACCTTCTTGAAGCTTCGATCCACAGGTCCTCCACCCCCACAGGCACGGACGAAAGAAGGTATACCTACTCCTCCCCTGAATGCAATGGACTCACCAACCTCCCTTCTGTCCCTCGCAACAAAAGGCCAGTTCAGAGGACCACGATCCCTCCGTGAAGGGTGCGTACGGTTACAATATGATAATGATAATGATGGCTACAAATATTTGGGCTTTATAAGAACATGAAGTTTCCTGATCAGCTGAATTCTAAACAGCTGGAGATAAGCTCTATAACACGGTTTGGTCAGAGGTGTAATGTACCACGGTATGTGAGTTTCTCAATCAGGAACTTTAGCATGTGATTATGATTCATAGGATGTTGTTATTATTTAACAACACTGCCAGTATCAAAACTATATAGTATCAATGTCAGTATAACTAATGAATGTGGAGCAGGTAGTAGAATGAGAACAGGATGGTGAAACTGAAGTACTAGGAGAAAGCCTGCCCCAGTGCCACTTTGCCCACCACAACCATATGGGTAGTACTTATGTAACCCCCCCCCCAACATTCATAACCACAGAAACTGATAGTTTTTGCCAAAATTTCATTGAGATTCCAACAAAAATCCCGGTCTAAAGAACCCATTGAAGAATTAGGCATTTAGAACTTTGGCTGTCGCGAAATGCTAATAATTTTAATGAATGTTAAACATTTTTTTCACATGTCTACCCAAAGACAATGATGTCCTTCTAAACTTCACTTCACATTACTCTCATCTCCCCTTCTGAAAAAACATGACGGTCTACAAAAATATTCAAAGGAATAAGAAAAAGTGTTTTAAGAAGAGATGTTATAGGTTAGGTTCCGAAATCACCATTCTTACATTATTGTATGCCTCTTTAAGACTCTGTATGGAAGCCACTTCACTCTTCAGTTTATTGTTTTTACTCTTATTCCACGTAATTTTCTTTTTTCGTTTGCTTTTCTTATAAGTTTGCTTTCTATCCAAACCTTCGCTGTTCCCGTCCATCTCTTCCGTTCACCACGCTCTCTAAGCGCTCTAAGCCCCTCTAAGCCCTCTAAGCCGGATGGGACAGAGTACTGAAGTACTGAACACTGAACGGCCTGGAGCGCCTGGAGATCATGTAGTACTAATTCTACTCAGCAGGAGGCTCTGCCAAGAAACCTTTTCGTAATGTCGCCTAGACCGGTGGGGCATTGCCTAGGCATATTTTATATCTATAATTATTTTTTCCCCACAAAAAAAAATCATCTGTCGCCATTCTCACGAAAATTACAAATTCGGAACAGATTTTTTTACTTCAATAGTGGGTGTTAAGATTTGGACTTTGGTCTTTTTTTTTTAATGTAATATCAATAGCACCAACAACGACTTCTCGGAAGAAATCATTACTCTTTCTGTCCTTAAAATGTTTCATTATGGACCTATATATTGAAATGGGAGAGAAGTTTTAAACGGAAACTGAGGCCTAAAAGAAATACTGAGAGAGCCCGAGAAGCGCAGTCGATATAATGGCACAGGAAACTCCACCCTTTTTCTACAAAGTTCATTGTCTTCTGGGATTCACGTCCAGTAATTTGGTAAACTAAACGGCGTCACTTTTTTATTCTAACCCTACAGATGGAGAGTTCAGATTCCTCCATGCAGATATCTAACAGACTACACGGCTAACATCCCATTTTTTGCCCTGAAGAAGGAGACGCCGAAACGTTTCCTGATACGTGTGAGACACCCCGCTCTTCTACAACAAACATGGTAGACAGGAAATTCCTCCGAAACTAAACTACACGAGGTCCCAATCACTAATCTATCCTGAAAAAAGGAGGTAGATATTCCTCCAAAACGCTGACACCTATGTACCAAACAGTATATCCTCAGAATCCTAGAAGAGGACAGTCTTAATGAGAATCTCTCTGAGTGCGATTCGCAGTCTATACGATCAGGGAAAAAGGGACATACAGAACGGCTTTAATTATGGCCATGTCGCTCATTACATACATACATACATACATATACATTTGCGTTTCAGATTATTCACAAATGTGCACAGGCACAGAATATAAAACATGTCAACAAGCCAACAAGACATTGGAAGCATGTACATTCACAAACAAAATCACTAGCATATATAATCCATACTTGTCAAAAAAAACACATAAAATTGTTAAAAGGAAATACAGATTGCAGCAAATACACATACAATAGTTAAAAAGCAATACAAATTGCAACAAGTACACATACAATAGTTAAAAAGCAATACAAATTGCAACAAGTACACATACAATAGTTAAAAAGCAATACAAATTGCAGCAAGAATATGTGAGCACAGCCAAGGACATAGAGTTAAATGAAGTGTACACTGTCAGACACCTCTTGACAGGTCTTGACAGAAAAGCAGGAATTCCTCAACAGTATAAGAAGGGTTTTGAAGCAATACATCCTTTAGTTTCTCAATAAACTGTTTTTTGTCATGTACCAACTCAATTAAAAAATCAGGCAAACTATTAAAAACTTTTACACTCATACAATAGACCCCTTTTTGCCTCTTTGTTAGATGCGATTGAGGAACATGAAGGTTTCTAACTTGTCTTGTTGATTTACCATGAATTGTATGATTAAAAGTATAATGCCCCAGATTGTTTACCATTAGTATCATTAAAGATAAAATATATTGAGAAGCCAATGTCAAAATTTTTAATTTTTTAAAAACTGTTCTACATGATTCTCTGGGTTTCATTCCCAACATTATCCTGATGGCCCTTTTTTGTAAAAGAAAAATCTTCTTAGCCTCCCACGAGTTTCCCCAAAATACTATCCCATATCTCATAATTGAATGAAAGTATGCATGGTAAATCATCTTTAGTGTTTCAATATTGCTATACAATTTCATGTTTCTTATTGCAAAGCATGCCTTGCCCAATCTGGACAGCATCGATTCAATCTGTGACTTCCAATTCAGGGTCTTATCAATTTCAATGCCCAAGAATTTAACGTGGGTTTCCTGATGCAATATCTCATCATTAAACTTTAAATGTATAGACATATTATCTCGATTAGTTGTATCAAATTTTACCACTTTAGTTTTCTTCAGATTTAGAGACAGGCCATTAACTGCAAACCAACGGCTTAAAGAATTCAACACTAAGTTAGACCTTACTTGGATTTCATCAATATCAATACCAGACACTACTATGCTTGTATCGTCTGCATACAACAATAACCTATCATCAGTATTTAATGCTGATGACAGGTCATTGATATATAAAAGAAACAGCAAGGGACCCAAAATCGAGCCCTGCGGCACTCCATATTCAACAATCTCCCATCCTGAACAACATTTTTCATTCCCATTAGTATACAATTCCACTCTTTGCCTTCTATTTCCCAAATATGATTTCAACCATCTTAAAGTTTTGCCACCAAGTCCATATACAGCCAACTTGCTCAAAAGGATATCATGCACCACACAATCAAATGCCTTTGTCAAATCACAGAATATTCCTAATGAAAGACAGCGTCGTTCCAAAGTTTCTAATATATGATTAGTTAAGGCATAGATTGCAGATTCTGTACTTCTATTTTCTCTAAATCCAAACTGAGCAGATGAAATTAGATTATTTGTATGTAGGTGCTGCTTTATCCTATTATACATCGCTTTTTCAAATATCTTGGAAAAGATTATTAACAGTGATATTGGTCTATAATTTGCCATAACGACCTTCTCACCTGTTTTGTGTAAAGGTCTTACTGACGCAAATTTCATTCTATCGGGAAAAATTCCACGTTCAAGTGATGCATTAAGTATATGTCCAAGTGGTTTACTTATTTGATTAATGCTATATTTCGTGTTCGTTAATTTAAAATAAATGTTTGGAAATGCGTGATGTAGCAAGCGGCACGTGCAACAGTTCAGAGGGTCTTGATGGTCATGATGGCAAAGTCAGATCGGTTTGCTGAGACAGAGAGAGAATGCCCACACCGTGGATACTAACTTAATCGAAAATGTGAAGCACAATATATCATTGAAGGTCACGTTGCGAAGTCCGGTTTTATGGTTCACCCCTCATACTCATACTCATACTTATACTCACACACATGGTAAATATCTGCTTTGGCCGTATAATATTCATTCCTTCTATGCTATATGCTAAATGGAGTGTAAAAGGTTGGTCCATATATGACAGTAAAACTTGATTTTTCTGTACAATTGGTGTTTACACAGGAAAATGTAAGGAGTCCGAAGATACTGGTGAACCACTCTGGGACTATGTATTTATGTATGTATGTATGTATGTATGAAGGGTAGGCCTACTCGCCCTTGCACTTAGACCTCAGTGGTCCATCGTGCTTCCCCTTTTTAATTATTCCCTCAGCAACCCGACCCTTCGGATGAAGCGCAGGATTTTGGATGTGGGGGCGTCGAAATAGTCACTTGGTTCCATAAAGTATTGACCTAAGTGACATAGTCTTAAAGAAGCTAAAGCCTCACATTCACACAGGACGTGTGTGGCTGTTTCATTTTCTATCTGACACATATCACAAGTGGGACTATCACTTAGTCCCAGTTTGAACAGGTGTCCTTTGAGGTGACAGTGTCCTGCAAGTAGTCCTACCACCTATCGTAGCTGGTTCCTATTGAGCTTCAACTGTTCCTTCGCTCTTTTATCAGAAGGTCCTCGTATGAGTCCCTTACCTTGCCTGAGTCCAGTTAAGGATTCCCAGTATTTCTTCTGTTTTCTGTTAGTCCAGTCCCTGATTGCCAGTTTGGCAACTTCAAGAGAGATGCCACAGGCTGGTTCAGGTCCTATGAACGGATGTTCAACTCCAATTTTAGCTAATTGGTCTGCTGCTTCATTTCCAGCAATACCCTCATGCCCCGGCACCCATATCAGGTGTACCCTGTTATGTTTGGCCAGTTCCATGAGGGTTTGGTGGCAATCCCAGACCAAATTTGAATTGATCTGGTGTTTGTCAAGTGCTTTGAGTGCTGCTTGGCTGTCAGATAGAATGTAGATGTTCCTATTTCTATAGTTCCTATCTAAATTCTCCATAATACATGCTTTAATGGCATATACTTCTGCCTAGAATACTGTCGTGTACCACCCAAGGCTGAAACTAAGTTTCCGATTCGTACCATGGCAGTACACACCAGCTCCAGTGCCTCTATGTGTCTTGGAACCATCTGTATACCAGATCAGTCCCCCTTTTCTGTCAGGCTGAAACCCGTCTTCCCATTCACTCCTTTCAGGAAATGTGACTGTGAAGGGTTTTCCATATACATGTCTCAGTATCATTTTGTCAGAACCCATTTGTAATATGGGTTCTGTTTTCATGTCCTGAGTAATGTCTGCATGGCCGAAACCATCAGATCTAGGTTTCCATTGTCCACAGCACTGTAGATGGTAGAATCCTGCCCTGGCCTCTGCATCCAACTGCATATGCAGTGGGGGGAGTCCAAGGAGTATCTCCAGTGCAGCTGCTGGAGATGTTCGAAATGCTCCTGTAATACCTAAGCAAGCCATCATTTCAATTTGCCATGTTCTGTCTTGCTTGTCTTGAACTTAACTCTGGGCCACAATACTGTGACACCATAAGTAAATATAGGTCTCACAACCACAGTATATATCCAACGTACGACGTGTGGCTGCAGTCCTCAAGTTTTACCAAACATGCCCCTGCATGTCCAAAAAGCCTTATAGGCTTTGTTAATGACTTTGTCCAGCTGCCTTTTCCATGTCACTCCCTTGTCTAATATTAGGCCAAGGCACTTGACATCGCCGGAGAGCTGGATTTTCTTATTGAAGAGAATCGGTTCCTGAATACCCTTTACATATTGTGACGTGTTGCGCTAGCTGGCCCCCCCCCCCCCACCAAGGAGCTGACGCGCCGAGCGAAGCCGATGTGAGCCGAGTGGAGCCGAAGTTAGCCGAGTCCCCGCAACCTGGTAGTTACGCAACGCGAGTCAACAGCGGTGACGTCACCAAGGGATATCGCGGTTGCTATTCAGCAGTCAACAACTCCGGACAGGGTGCCTAGCAACACGGCACCAGACGACAATGGTCCGGAACGAGGCTACATAAGGAGCAGCGAA